TCAGTCACCTCATTTGATACATCTGTAATGGGAGATAAGAACCAGGATGAATCATGGAACTCGTCATTCCCGTTTGTCTGAATTTTTGCGTGTGCTTTATGAATCCCCATGTGAGGCTAATGCCGTTTGGACTCCAGAAGCTCCGAGCTCATTTTCAAATTGCCTAAGCCACCAAATCCACTAAAAACTTGTATATAGGGGTAATTCAACATCCTGATTACGAGTATGACACTCATTCTTGGCGCTGGCGCCAAGAGAGGACACTACGATTACCTCCTGGGCTCAGCCTTAGCAGAGCGCAGGTAACCGTAGTGTCATCCATTAGCGCCAGCGCCAAAAATGAATGTCATATTCGTGATCAGGATGTTGAATTACCCCTATATACAAGTTTTTAGCGGATTTGGTGATCTTGCCACTTTTAAAATGAGCTCGGAGCCGAAATTTCTGGACGGCATTGGCCCCCATGTAAGGGCTATTGCCGTTTGGACAAGCTGACTTTTGGCTGCGAGCTTATTTTTGAAGTGCCTAAATCACCAAATCCGCTGAAACTTGTATATAGAGTAATCTAACATTCTGACTGCGACCATGACATTCGTTCTTGGCGCTGGACGCTAATGAAGAACATTACGATCATGTGCGCTCTGCTAAAGCTGAGCTAAGTAGATAATCGTTGTGTCCTCCACTAGCGCCGGAAGCGAATGTCATATTTGTGAGCAGGATGTAAGATCACCTCTATATACAAGTTTTCCGCTGATTTGGTGATCTGAGCACTTCAAAAATGAGCTCGCAGCCAAAAGTCAGCGCGTCCATACGATATTATGGCCCATGAAAGCTAAAGTAACATTTCTACTGAAAGGCAGCGTTCATACTTCGCGACAGCAGCGGCGATCGCGGCGACCTCGGCGATCGCCGCGATCGTCGGTACATGGCAGAGCGCGCCCAAACGCTATTACTTGGACCGCTCCGAGTGCTGCTAGGGAAAATCGGCTTAATTTCGTGCTTTTTTTTTTCAATTGCAATTGTCTCTGGTGTGAAAGCTTGTTTTGACTGACGGAAGGATGAACAAGACTTGATGGCTTTATCTTTTCTATTCTCTTTTTCAGTTTAGGATAGAAATGAGCAAAAAGCGTGGGAGCTTCATTTAGGGTGAGTTTCTTAGTGTTTTTTTTCATTCTTCGAGCTTATACATGAATTTATAAAGTTTCCTCCTCTTTGATGTGAATAGATATGATAGAATCGAACTATCCCTGAGCCTCATGCGTTATAATGTCTTCTTCAACAAAATTCAATGAGTACTCGAAACACAATTTCATTGGTAAGCTTTCGCTGGTAACAGCTTCGTCAGACCTCAAATAATATAAGGTAGGTCGTTAGTATTTAGTGTAGTTGTCATCACTTGTAGGCATTGAGTGTATTGTATTACAGACCTTAGCAACTTTATTGTTAAGAAGGACTCCAGTCTGGTTAGTGCTTCGACCAACTCTATTGTTGTAAAGATTTGTAGTGCTATATATGCTTTATATTATTTGAGGACGACCTACCTTATATTATTTGAGGTCTGACGAAGCTGTTACCACAGCGAAAGCTTACCAATGAAAATTGTGTTTCGAGTACTCATTGAATCCTGTTGAAGAAAACATTAAATAAAGCATTAGTGTTTTGATTTCTAGGTCGAATGGTCGTAACCAAGTTTTCTTTTCCTTGTATACATGGGATCTTTTGGGAAAAAAGTAGCTTGCTCAACCAAAAGCAGATGTGCATAGAATAAAAATTTCACGGTGTCATTTGGTGGGGCTTCAAAGCGATATGATGTGATGGATACTGGCACAGTAATTACGGCTACAATCTACACCAATGAACATCAAAACATGGATGACGTCACGCTCGAACTCATTCAGAAACACTCACTTTCTTTCTACTACTTTGCGATGCGAAGAGCGCATGTGATTATCATGCTACGCCAAAAGGTTATAGATCGCGATCAGGGAATGCGACCGTACCCACCTTACTCAGCAAGGCTAGCAGCCTCGAACTGCCACCTCCTTGGGATAGATTGCAGCTGTCTCCCATAATTAGTGAAGAAAAATTCCTCCGAAAATTCAGCCAAAGTGTCGCAAGCCTTTCTCTCTAACCTGATGCATACTTCTAAGATGTCACAGCGGCTCAAGATGGGAGACCAGTTTGTAGCGCATTCGCGATGAGGTTGGTGAGCGCCTCTGTGTTCAGTTCCTATTGACTTCAAGTGTAAGAGGTGTTCGGAAAGCCTTCACATAGTTTATTAGATGAATAATTCAGTGGACCAGCCATTTACTGCGGTCAAGCGAGCCGTCATACTAAAATACGAGAGAGGCGGGTCTTTGATGCACTGGACTCAAAACATGATTGCTATCGTCATTGAAATAGATATTCAGAACTTCCAATTCGTTCAAATCCCGGGTCGACTCCCAGGCCAACCAAGCCTTCTACCCTCCGGGGACGGTAAATTGGTACCAGATTCGTCTGGGAGGATAAAACACTGACTTGTACATCGGCTGGCCACCGCAAGTCATTGTATAGGCCACATCGCATTCAATAAGCCACTACGATTCTGAATGGAAGTAGAATGCGTGCCGCATCCCACAAAGGGATTGATTAACGGCGAAGACTTTATCCTTTTATCCTTTTTTCATTTCGACCCAAATGTGGTCTCGTCTCTGTCCAACAGAGAACAAGATGGCGGTTGTCTCAAATTGAAATATCCACGAGTAACCAGTTCTGTGCCATGTTCGAATGCCACGCCTACCCCTCACAGGGATAAGGAGTATATATGGCTAAACAGTACAATTTATACCCTGGTTCGCTGCGGATGATGGGGCGTGTCCGCGATCGCGCTTGGCGCTGAGCCAACCTGTTTTTTTCGACAAACGACAGGACTACCATATCGTTCGTATCAGACGTTTTCCAGCAGTTGGTCTCCTTTATCAGAGTCAGCAATTGGCGGAGCACAGATCTGGCGGCATCGGATACGGACACGCCCCGCAACGAACAACGCTGTAAACAAGTGCGTAGGTTGGCCATGGACCTCCCCAAATCCTACAAACACATCTGCTCGTGTAGACAGGCATTGCGTGGAACTTGCACCATCCCACTACCTCTGCGTGGGAGCCTAAGCATGGCGCATCCACAAATGAAGCTAATGGGCGCTAAAACACCTACTGCTTGCTCCTATTCCACGAAGGGATGCATTCTAGATGCATTCCTGGATATCCGAATACGCCCACTTGAAGCGGTACGCAGAAAACGGATTTTTCGAGCAGCTCGGAGTGCTCTCTAATAAATCCCCAACGCAAATTAAATTTCGTTCAAACCAGGACAGTTTCCATGCAAAAGTCAAAATCCTCAAGTAGATCCCCAACGCTGAATTTCTTCCTGAATTTGGCGACCTTCATAAACATTTCAGTACTTTCGGGAAGCTCGAACCTTTTTCTACACGACTGCGTTTTCCTCTTTCCCACAGGTCTGCCTTTGAGGAAGTTATGGCCCTTCA